CATCCAGTCCAACCCCCTGCCAAGAAGCAGGAATATTGCATTCAAATCACCCCTGACAGATGGCCATCCAGCCCCTGTTTAAAAGCTTCCAAAGAAGGAGCCTCCACCACACTCCGGGGCAGAGAGTTCCACTGCTGAACGGCTCTCACAGTCAGGAAGTTCTTCCTCATGTTCAGATGGAATCTCCTCTCTTGTAGTTTGAAGCCATTGTTCCATTGCGTCCTAGTCTCCAGGGAAGCAGAAAACAAGCTTGCTCTTCTTCTTCTTTTGAAATCCACAATTGGAACCCCCTTCTTTTTCCCTCCATAATCCATACATCATTGCTAATAAAGAGGGAAAATGCCTTATATAAAGTAAAAGTCCACATTTTTAGGCTCCAGCCTTTGAAGTAAGTCCTCGATTGCTGTTTTAAAAGGCTTTTTGCCTCGGGGACCATTTTGCTCTCATGATTCATCCCTTCCCCTCTACTTTCTCCATCGACTGGGTCAGGTATAATCCATCCAATGGCTCTCTCTTTCCAAAGGTAAAAGATGGCCTTCGGTTTCCGCATTTTTCAGGTTCTTGGGGCGAGGGGGGTGGACGGGGAATTGCCGCTACTGATCTAATCTTGCCTGGCATTTATGCCCCTTGAAATGAGATGCCGTTTTGCAGTAAGATGCTGAGAAGTACATAGATATCTCTCAGAGACAGCAGGGTGTCCCCAAAAGGACCGGCTATTAAGGCCTGACATTAAGAGGAAGGGAATACTAACGAATAGAAGAGGAGATGAGGACATCCATTTTGGTGGTGGGATGGAGTCACAGCTTTCTTGGGATCGTTATTTAAGGTTGGAGACCTTAGTAAAGATAAAGGTTTTCCCTTGACATTAAGTCTAGTCGTGTCTGACTCTGGGGGGGTGGTGCCGTAGACACCTCCAAGGTCATGCGGCCGGCATGACTTAATAGAGTGCCATTACCTTCCCACCAGAGAGGTACCTATTGATCTACTCACATTTGCATGTTTTCGAACTGCTAAGTTGACAGAAGCTGGGACTAATAAGGAGCTCACCCTGCTCCCTGGATTCGTACTGCCGACCTTTTGCTCAGCAAGTTCAGCAGCTCAGCAGTTTAACCTGCTGCACTACTGGGGGCTCCTTAGAGACCTCAAGCCTGAACTGAATGGCTATTGCTTTCCTCTAGGGTTGAGAAAGGATCTATACATCTACGCATCCTCTCTTTGAGTTTACTTGGAGGAGGTTTTCCATGGCCATCCCTTGAGGCTGAGAGAGTGTGACATACCCAAAGTCACCCAACTTTGGTGCTAAACTTTCAGACAAATGATTCAGACACTGGTTCTCCAGAACCTTATTCCAACATTCAAAACCACTACACCACACTGTCGACATTCTAGTGATGCTGTCCTGATTTTAAAAACGCAGGCAACAACAACAACAACACGAGGGTTATCTGGAAAGTAAGGTTACAAGGCATGCAGCTCTTGCAGGGAATTTTCCCCGGTGAAGTTGGCCTTACTGCCACATAGCGGGAAACCAGCGGAAGCAAATGAGCAGTGCCAGTCGTCAGTTGCTCATCCACTGGTGTTGTTGTGAAGGTCAGAGATGAGTGTCTTCATTCTGTTTCCCTTCTGTTTGTCTCCTTTATGACAATGTGCATCCATGCACCGCTCATGCAATGGCAAATTTTCTCAGGTGAACTTGTTATCACTGCCGTGTAGCAGGAAGCCAGCGGAAGTGAACGAACAGTGCCAGTCGTCAGTTGCTCATCCACTGGTGTTACTGTAAAGGTCAGAAATGAGTGTCTTCATTCTGTTTCCCTTCTGTTTGTCTCCTTTATGACAATGTGCATCTGCACACCGCTCATGCAATGGCAAATTTTCTCAGGTGAACTTGTTATCACTGCCATGTAGCAGGAAGCCAGTGAAAGCGAACGAGAAGTGCCAGTCGTCAGTTGTTCATCCACTGGTGTTGTGAAGGTCAGAGATGAGTGTCCTCATTCTGTTTCCCTTCTGTTTGTCTCCTTCATGACAATGTGCATCTGCACATCACCCATGCAATGGCAAATTTTCTTGGGTCAAGTTGGTATCACTGTCATGTAGCAGGAAGCCAGTGGAAGCGAACGAGAAGTGCCATTCGCCAGTAGCTCATCAACTGGAGTTGTGGTGAAGATTTGAGATGAGCATCCTCATTTCTTTTCCCTCCAAGTGCAAAGTTTGTGTTGTAATACGCTACCTAAATGCTAAGGGCATGAACACCACTGCAATTCATCGCAAAATCATTTCAGTTTATGGAGAGGACGTAATATCAAGGCAGCATATGACAAGATGTTTACGGAATATATTGTGATACCATGAAGAAACTTCGCAGAGCCATCCGAATCTAACGTCATGGGATGCTGACAGTGGGAGTCTGCCTCCTTCATGACAATGCACATCCACACACTGCTCATGCAACACAAGAGTTGTTTACTTCATTGGGTTGGGATGTTTTAAGCCATTCCTCTCACAGCCCCGATCTCGCACCCAGTGACTATCATCTGTTCACTAAATTGAAGGGACACCTGAGTGGAAAACACTTTTCCAACGACAATGAGGTGAAAATCGAAGTGATGAACTGGATGAAAAAGGTGAAAGGAAACTTCTTTGACAAAGGCACCAAAACCCGTCCCAAGAATGACAAAATGTATTGAACTAAATGGTGATTATGTGGAAAAATAATTTTACCTATGCTACAATCCATGTAAGTTTTATTAAAATATATTCATTCTTTGCATTTTAATTTTTTTGTAACCTTACTTTCTGGATAACCCTTGAATTGGCCAGGTTTGGTCATTCAACGTTTTCCATGATTTTCTTCTGAGGCCGAGAGACTCCAACGTGCCCAAAGTGACCGATTCGGTTTCCATGGCCAAGCAAGGATTCAAACCCTGGTGATTCAAACTTCTCTAACACTCTCCTAGCAACCCGGATATGAAATTGCAGAATCAAAATATATCCTTGCTACATGCTCCTCACCACACACACACACACACACACTGTTTTGTTTGGTTTTTTGCAAAATGCAATGCTTAAAACAAGTCTGCTTTTCTTAATTAGCATTTGAAAATGAATGCGTCTCCTCCCTCCGATCGATCCAAGCGCTTTCAATCCCTATGACCGGGAAGTGAAGTGGAATGCTAATCCTACCTGAGCCGCTCATTTTTTTAATCGCCCGGACTCTGTGTGTGTATGGATGGATGGAAGGAACGAGGGAGGGATGTTTGTGTGTCTCTGTTGCTTAAATAAATGGTTTCCATCCACCGATTACTGACTTAGGGATGTGTAAGCCCTGGGAATCTAATAGGGGAGCCAGTAATCCACTGGTTAAACAGATTAGTCCGGGAAGAGAAGGGATTGTGTAACTCTCCCGAGGAAAGCAATAGGCTTAATCCATGCCATGGTCCCCGGCCTGCGTCCACTCCAGCATCACCAATGGGCCTTGGATGATGATGATGATGATGAGAGATATTCTCTCTAGGCATTTTCTTGGTCCTCCAACACACTTTTGTCCTATTGTTCTGCCAGGCCTTGAACATAGAGTTGTGCTGGATGACCTAGCCATGCTAGAGAGGATTTGCAGCTTCCTACAGAATGGGGTTGGACTAGATGGCCTTTGGGGTCCCTTCCAACTCTATGGAGCTAAGATTGCATAAATGGATGGTGGTAAACTCTCTTTCACAGCTTATTTATTTATTTCTCATGTCAGGGCAGCCAGTCAATTATATTACATTTCTAACAGAACAAGCAAACAAACAGACAAAATACAAAATTTGTGAGTTTGGTAGTTGATTAAATGTCCTTTGACCAGTATCTGGCCACTTGGAGTGCTTCTGGTGTTGCTGCAAGAAGGTCCTCCATTGTGCATGTGGCAGGGCTCAGGTTGCATTGCAGCAGGTGGTCAGTGGTTTGCTCCTCTCCGCACTCACATGTCGAGGATTCCACTTTGTGGCCCCATTTCTGAAGGTTGGCTCTGCATCTCGTGGTGCCAGAGCACAGTCTGTTCAGCACCTTCCAAGTCGCCCAGTCCTCTGTGTGCCCAGGGGGGAGTCTCTCATTTGGTATCAGCCATTGGTTGAGGTTCTGGGTTTGAGCCTGCCACTTTTGGACTCTCGCTTGCTGAGGTGTTCCAGCGAGTGTCTCTGTAGATCTTAGAAAACTATGTTTCACAGCTTAGAAGGCCATTTTTCAGGAGTTCTTTAGCTGGGCTTTGCTGCCTGACAAAATGGGGCTGGACTAGCTGATCTCTGGGGGACCCTTCCAATTCTCTGGCCTTAGGATTGTTCAATTGGATGGTGAGATACACTACACTCCATCTTTGGAGGTTGGAAGGCTATCTTTTGGGAGTGTTTTAGTTGTCCTGGCAGAATGGGTCTGGATTCCATGACCTCTGGTGGGCCCTTCCAATTCTGTGACATTATGACTATACAATTGGATGGTGATGTACACTATACTCCTTTAGTGGTTGAAAGGCCATCTTTTGGGAGCGCTTTAGGTGTGCCTTGCTGCCTGGCATAAAAGGGCTGGACTAGATAACCTCTGGGGACCCCTTCCAATTCTATGGCACTATGATTGTACCATTGGATGGTGATGTATGCTATAGTCCTTCTTTGGAGATTGGAAGGCAATCTTTCAGGAGTGCTTCAGTTGTGCCTTGCTGGCTGGCAGAATGGGGCTGGACTAAATGACCACTGGAGGTCCCTTCCTATTCTATGGCACTTACAATTGGATGGTGTTGTACACTACACTCCTTCTTTGGAGGTTGGAAGGCCATCTTTCGGGAGTGCTTTAGTTATGCAGAATGGAGCTGAACTAGATGACCACTGGGGATCCCTTCTAAGTCATTGATTCTACAAGTGTAGCATGGTTCCATGCGATGAAAGGGGGTCCTATTTGGATGACATTTAGGGTTCCCTCTACAGTATTTAACATCCCAACTTGGGTCTTTTCCCTTTCTTCCTTTCCCGCAGCCAGAGGAGCTGACCAATGCCTTGGAGATCAGCAACATCGTCTTCACCAGCATGTTTGCCCTGGAGATGGTCCTCAAGCTCCTGGCTTTCGGCCTCTGGGGGTACATTAAGAACCCCTACAACATTTTCGATGGCATCATTGTCGTCATCAGGTACCTTTTGCATGGGTTTGGGGGTCTTAAATTGGCAGAGATTGGATTCGCTCCTATCTCTAGTCCAAACTTCAAGGGTATTCAACCCTTCACATAAGGTCTAGGAATCATTTGAAGTTTGGATAGAATCTGACATGGCACACCATTAGGCCATTAGGAGGACTATATACCGTACTTCCTCTCAAAGGTCTTCTGGGGCAGGAATATCTAGTGCCAGCAAGGGCAACACAAAGTTAGGGATCCCTGAGAGACAAAGATTGTAAATATATGAATCAAGAAGGAGGAGTTTGCTCCAAAATGGAAAGCTTTCCCATCATGTCTGAGACTGCCTTTGGAGTCTCAAAGCCATCTTTGAAGGCGCTTAAACAGAAGTTGGTTGGACATTAGCTGGTTCTTCCTGCATGACTGAATGGGGCTGGACTAGATGGCCTTTGAGACTTCCAACATACTGCCTTAAAGGCTAGTGGGCTCTCTACCAGAGGTTGGATGAGCATCTTTTGAGAGAGCTTTTGTTTTGTCTTCCTGAATGGCCAAATGAGGTGGGACTAGATGGCCTCTAGGGGTCCCCATTCTTGCGAATTATGGTTGGTTTTGGAGGATTGTGGACCTTCTATCTTTGGAGGTCCTCAAAATGAGGTCGGATGGGCATCTTTTAGGAGAGCTCTCATTGGAGCAGAATGGGATTGGACTTGATGGCCTTTGGAGATCCTTTCCAACTCTAGCAGAATATGAAATTCCTGGGAGACTGATAGACTCTCCTTCTTTGGAGGTCCTTAGAGAGTGGTCAGATGGACATCTTTCAAAAGTGTCTTCCTGCATAGTAGAAAGAGGTTGGACTTGATGGCCCTTGGTGTCCCTTCCATTTTTAGTATAAGACTGCCTTGGAGAGTGATACTCTCTTTCTTTGGAGGTCCTTAAATAGAGGTCAGGTGGACATCTTTAAAGAGTGTCTTCCTGGATAGCTGAATGTGGTTGGACTAGATGACCCTTTGGGTACCTGCAACACCTAGTACAGAACTGCCTTGAAGAGTGATGGACTATCTTTGGAGTTTGGATGGACATCTTACAAGGGTGTCTTCCTGCCCAGCAGAAAGGGGTTGGACTAGATGACCCTTGGAGATCCCTTGTACAGTTAATATAAAACTGCATCGGAGAGTGACAGACTTTCCTTCTCTGGAGATCCTTAAACAGAGTTTGATGTCTTCCAGCCCAGCAGAACAGGGCTGGACTAGATGACTCTTGGTGGTTCATTCCACATTTAGTATAAGACTGCCTTGGGGAGTGATACTCTCTTTCTTTGGAGGTCCTTAAATAGAGGCCAGGTGGACATCTTTAAAGAGTGTCTTCCTGCATAGCCAATGGGGTTGCACTAGATGACCCTTGGGGTACCTGCAACACATAGTACAGTATTACCTTGAGAAGTGATAGACTATCTTTGGAGGTCCTTAAACGAAGCTTGGATGGACATCTTACAAGAGTATCTTTCTGCGTATCAGAAAAGGGCTGAACTAGATGACCCTTGGGGTTTCCTTCCACATTTAGTATAAGACTGCCTTGGAGAGAGACAGAATCTTCTTTGGAGGTCCTTAAAGAGTGGTCAGATGAACATCTTTCAGAAATGTCTTCCCGCATAGTAGAATGGGGTTGGACTAGATGACCCTTGGATATTCCTTTCACATTTAGTCTAAGGGCCCTTCCACACAGCCCTATATCCCAGAATATCAAGGCAGAAAATCCCATATTATCTGAGTGTGGACTCAGATAGCCCAGTTCAAAGCAGATATTGTGAGATTTTCTGCCTTGATATTCTGAGATATCACTCTTCAACTGCCTTGAAGAGTGATAGACTCTTTCTCTGGAGATACTCAAACAGGGGTCAGATGTGTATCTTTCAAGAGTGTCTTCCTGCCCAGCAGAATGGGTCTGGACTAAATTGCACTTGGGGGTCCCTTACACATGTAGGATAAGACTGCCTTGGAGAGTGATAGGCTCTCCATCTTTGGAGGTCCTTAAACAGAGGAGGACGTCTTTCAAGGGTGTCTTCCTGCCTAGCAGAATGGGGGTGGACTAGATGACCCTCGGGGTCCATTCCAAGTATCAGATCCTGTGATCCAATGGGTATCCCTCTTCAACCTGACAGCGTCTGGGAAATCATTGGCCAGGCGGACGGCGGCCTCTCGGTGCTGAGGACCTTCCGCCTCCTGCGGGTCCTGAAGCTGGTGAGGTTCATGCCAGCCTTGCGGCGCCAGCTGGTGGTCCTGATGAAGACCATGGACAACGTGGCCACCTTCTGCATGCTCCTCATGCTCTTCATCTTCATCTTCAGGTAAGGAGACAACTTCCGTCCTTTTCTCTCCCTTCCTCCCCATTCATTAACGCGTCCGCCCACTTCCCTGTTCGTACGCCGCTCTGCATAATTTAGAATTTCCAGAGTTGACAAGAGGCAGACAGGCGGATGAGCGGCAGATGGGTTTCCCTCTCCGCCCGTCGTCTCGTTCTTTCCCCGAATCCTGAGACAAATGGAGGACGCCGAGTGACAGCGCCGACGGAAGACAGCGCTCCATTGTTCTTGGAAAATGACAAACATCCTTGAGGAAACTTGAACCGACACCTACGAATGTCGGCGGAAGAGAACGGAGAATGAATCTCCATCGGTGCAGCCAGAATTCCCACTTTCGTTCCACGTGGAACAGTTATTTGCTAGGAAAAAATACTAATATTCACTACTATAGCTATGCATCTATAACCTAGGGTGTGTCTACACTGTAGATTCCACGCTGTTTGACACCATTTCAACTGCCGCAGCTCAATGTATTGGAAACATGTGCGTGTAACAAGGTCTTCTACAAATAACACTATGTAACACAATTTTTGCTCCTGGGTTATAAATGTCATTTCCTAATGGGTTAGATCAGTGTTTCTCAACCTGGGGGTCGGGACCCCTGGAGGGGTTGCGAGGGGGTGTCAGAGGGGTCACCAAAGACCACCAGAAAACACAGTTTTTCTGTTGGTCATGGGGGTTCTGTGTGGGATGTTTGGCCCAATTCTAACCTTGGTGGAGTTCAGAATGTTCTTTGACTGTAGGTGAACGATAAATCCCAGCAACTACAACTCCCAAATGTCAAGTCTATTTTCCCTAAACTCCACCAGAGTCCACATTTGGACATATTGATCTTTATGCCAAGTTTAATCCAGTTTCATCATTGTTTTGAGTCCACTGTGCTCTCAAGATGTAGGTGAACTACAACTCCAAAACTCAAGGTCTATGTTCCCCCAAGCCTCTCCAGTATTTTCTGTTGGTCATGGGAGTTCTGTGTGCCAAGTTTGGTTCAGTTCTATCATTGGTGGTGTTCAGAATGCTCTTTGATTGTAGGTGAACTACAACTCCCAAATGATAGAATCAATACCCCCAAATCCCACCAGTATTCGAATTTGGGTGTATCAGGTCTTTGTGCCAAATTTGGTCCAGTGAATGAAAATACATCCTGCATATCAGATATGTTACAATTCATAACAATAGCAAAATTACAGTTGTGAAGTAGTAATGAAAATAATTTTACGGTTGGGGGGGTCACCACAACATAAGGAACTGTATTAAGGGGTCTCAGCATTAGGAAGGTTGAGAACCACTGGGTTAGATCATTAAAAAGATGGGAAAGATGGGAAAAGTTTATTACGGCGAAAACTTTGTTTTTGTGGGAGGGACATCCTGCAGCCTGCAGTTTTTCAATGAATATCTTATTGGCAGCCACAAAAACAAAGTTTCCAACGTATAACAATTGCTTTCAAAATAAGCCCCGTGCAATTAAACAAGAAATAACACTTTCAAAACAGCAAGAGTTTTTTTTTCAAATTTTGTCACATAGTGCAATATGATATCATCTACATACCTAATGCAGTTTGTCTCCACTTGAATTGCCATGGTTTGATGCTAGGAGATGTAATTTTCCAAGGCCTTGAGTCTTCTCTGGCTGCACTGCAGAATGAATAGCAGTTTGGTACCCTTAGAACTGCCAGTGCTGGGAGTTGGAGCTTGGGGAGACACCAGTACTTTTTGGTGGAGAAGTCCTTGTCAAACTACAACTCATCAAGACTATCCACTCAGCCATAAAAGTCCACTGAGTGGATATTACTGCTAACACTGCTACTACCACCATTATTGTTATTATTATTATTATTATTACTATTACTATTACTATTAGATAAACAACAAGATTAGTACACAGCAAATAAGATTACTATGCTGGCTGTTGTTTTGGATCACACGTCGGACACTTCCCAAGTGTCTAGGACTGTGTGATGTATCGACGAATAATGTATGCAGATCTGAGTAGGGTGGCCTTCTGCACCAATTGTTTTTAAGTGCAGGCCAAGGTCTTTAGGCTCTGCACCTAGTGTGCCAATCAACACTGGGACCACCTTGAATGGCTTTGCAGTTCGATCTTTAAATACTCATATCATGTGAGCTTTTCCAGTTGCTTCTCTTCAATCCTACTGTCGCGTGGGACTGCAACATTGACAATCCATACTTTGTTATTTTCCATGATTGTGAGGTCAGGAGTCTTGTGTTCCAAAACTCAGTCAGTCTGAATCTGGAAGTCCCAGAGGAGTTTGACGTGTTCATTTTCTGTAACTTTTTCGGGCTTGTGATCCCACCATTTAGTTGTCACAGGCAGATGGTATTTGTGGCACCAGTTCCAATGAATCATCTGAGCAACAGTGTTGTGCCTCTGCTTGTAGTCTGTCTGCGTGAATTCAGAAGTTCCAGAGTAGTTTGACATGTTCATTTTCCAGCTTGTGATCTGACTTATTATTATTATTATTATTATTATTATTATTATTATTATT